ATGGGACCCTCCAATGGGACCCTCGGTGAAGCCGATTCGTGACGAGGGCGTCACGTGATTGGGTGGAGGAGAATGTCACGGACAAAAAGTCCCACAGCGTCTAGGTGTAGGGCTGAAAAACAGTATTTAAGTCCTGGGCTGCCCACCTCTCTTAAGGGCTCTTTTGGGAGGTGACAACTGACTCTTATAACATCAAGGATTTTCTATTGTGAAGATCTCCAACTCCAATTGTTGCTTGAAATAAGTGTGTGTGAAATACATGAAGTAAATGGATGCAGAAAAAAAATGTCTTCATAACTATCAATCTCTGATCATTTTATCAACCATCTCTTTAATCTTTCCCTCCACCTAGCTGAATGATGCAAATTAATGAGAATTAGTAATAATATTAGGGTTTAGGGTAAAATATATGGTAGAGGGGCGGTGGTAGCCGACGGCGGTGGTTTGTGGGTGTCACTGTCGGCTGCCACTTGCACTTAGCAACATTTCACGAAAAATATTATACTTGAAATTTTTCCAAATCCAACAAATTTTAAATATTGCAAATGAATTAGAGAATTGATTTAAAATATATTTTAATTTTACACTATTTTGAATTCATCTGACCAAAAACCCACCCAGATTTTTGAAACTCTAATAAAAAGGAATGTACTACACTATTTATTTTTGTGGCAAATCAAACTCTTAAAACTCTTTTTTTTATTTTTAGTTGAAGTAGAAAAATGAGGGAGGGGCTTCAAAAGGTAAGACATTTTCAGCTAATTTTAAGTACAGACAGAAAATCAACATATAAAGCAAAGTATTTTTTACACTATAAAAAGATATTATTTCCCAGAAAAAAAGAAACTTACAATAACAGGAAGAAGTGCCAAGTATAACATACTGAAATAATTTAAGCTCAAAATATAAGGCATTTTCATCTGACATTCTGTATTAGAAGTGGACATGCAAAACACATGGTTTTAATAAAATAAAAAATATTATTTCCAAGTAAATAAAGCTATCTTACAAGTCACAACATAGGAAAATGTGCCAAATATCTACTATGGCTTATATTGACTTAATAAAAAAAAATCTGTTTTTGCTTTCTAACTATTAGTTCCTATTCTAATTTTCTTAAAAGCATTTTTTTAAAAAATAATATCTAAGAAAAATCATCCAAATAACCCCTAATTTTCAATAACTAAAAAAATTAAACTAACCTTAAAATTAGATCAGGGCATTAAAAAAAAAGAAAATTTTCTAGTGAGAAAAAGATTTATAATAGATCCTACGACTAAAGAAAATCAAAAGAGTAAGAAGAAACAGTTAGCAGGTTTTAGGCGTATCACAAGCAAGAAGCGATAGAACCAGCCATAAAGAAGTTAGAATATAAAACATGCAGAGAGACGCTACCCAAAGGGCAAAAGTGGACAGACACTTTGGGCTATCAAATTAGTTTTTAATTCAATCCAAATAACTGCAAAATAAATGCATTCTGGTTGCAGATATCCAGGTTCCATCATAACGATAATGATAACAATGTGGTTTGAGATTTATAGCAGATTCGGTAGAAGTCTATGCACATTACACTTAGCGGTAGAATTACGGGGTGATTGGGGAGCTGCTTGCCTCCCAATTATTTATTTATTTATTTAATATTATAGGCGGTAGAGTAATATTTTAATGTCTTAATATTGTATGAAGATCTAATACATATAGATAAAAGAAAAATAGCAAGTGGAGAACATGCTGAAAAATATGAATTGTAAAGATGATAATCACAGATACACAATAGTAGTTTGGCTATAATAGTGATAATTGGGCAACAAAAATGTGATTCTTGGCTATAATGACTATAGTTGGTCACAAATATTGTAGTTAGTTGCAATAAAGGTTGTAGTCGGCAAATGCATAGTGGCATTTGGCTCCAGAAATAATAGCTGAAACATTTAATAGTGGTAATCATTCAAAAAGGTCATAGTTGGTTGCTACAAAGACAGTAGTTGGTCACAAATATTGTGGTCGGTGGTTGCAATAGTGTTAGTTGGCCACATAAGCTGTAATTAGAAGCTATAACAAGACTAGTTGGTCACAAAAGTCATAATTGGTTGCTACAAATATATTTGTTGGCCATAAAGGCAGTAGTTGATGGTTGCAAGAATGGCAATTGGTTGGAGACCAGAGTTGAAAGTTGTAATAATAGTTATTGGTCATAGAAGTTGTAAATGGTTGCTAGAAAGATAATAAATGGTTATAAAGACTATAGTCGATGGTTGCAATAGCAGCAGTTGGTCACAAAAGTCGTAGTTGGAAGTTATAATAGTAGTAATTGGTTACAAAGGCTGTAATTGGTGGTTACAGTTTTTCACCAAAAAATACACTTGTCTTTATATAAGGCAATTACAAGTGTTAGACACAACAACCGTATTTTGACTACAAAGGTTGTAATTAGGGATTGACCGACCGCAGGTGGTCGATGGCGGCTGGCGTTTGCGACTAACAATGGTTAATAGTGGTCAATGGACGATAGTCGGTAGCTATAAAGGCTTGTGGTTATTCATCAGGCATTCTTATTATAAAAGGCTCTAGAATCTCGTTGTTCTTCTCTTCTTCCGCTTTCTAGTAAAGAGAGAGGGTTTATTTATAACTTTTGGGGATGAGCATTTTGGTCTTTTAACACATAACTTTCTTAAACCACTTGATCGTACAATCCTTAATTGAGAGTATTGGGGACGAACATTTTGGGTATTTCGGTCTGTTTATCTTCTACTGGACGAGCGCCGGTATAACTGATCGGCTAATTCTTGTTAATGGTTGGCATAATGGTTGTCGATCCTTAGTTCTCGTTGAAGAACTCTTGTTGACAGAGCGAAGCTATGATGTCGGGCAGAGGGTGAATTGTAGTAATCTGACGGTAAACTGCCCTTAGACAAGAAGTTCATTAGGGAAGGCAGCTATTCGTCCTCAGTGTAGTCATAAGATCTGAGGGATTTGCCTCTTCTTTTTTGCTTGATTGCATCGAAATGTTAGGTTTGGATGATCATTTGTCTTGTGACTAGGGGAGTCGCTTAGCTCGTGTCACATAGTCATCTTTATAACAGCTATCTTTAAGTTTGGTTCATTTGATCGGGCGCTTAGGTCACCGAGATCTTTTATCGGTGGTCCACTCTTTGATATTTCTTCTCTCTTGAATCGTTAGATCTCCTTGAGATTCTCTTCTTTTTGGTTGATTGCATCGAAATGTTAGGTTTGGGTGATCATTTGTCTTGTGACTGAGGGAGCCACTCAGCTCGTGCTTGATACTCATCTTTATGACAGTTAGCTTTAAGTTTGGTTCATCTGGTTGGGTGCCTAGGTTCCCCAGATTTCTTATCAGTGAGTCCACTATTTAATATTTCTTTTGTCTCCTCGAACGTCTTGCTGGCATAATTTGTTTGTGTGTGTTCGTGAATATGAGAAATAACTAATCTCTATCTTTTGTTATTGGACAGTGATTCATTAAGGGAAAACAAAAACACTAATTTGTTATTATTATTATTATTATTATTATTATTATTATTATTATTATTATTATTATTATTATATATACATATATATAGGCCTCTTAAAAATTGGATGCCACAGCCCTCTCAAAATATATGAGTGAGGGAGTTTACTTAAGATTTTTAACTCCAATTAAAGTTTATTAATTGGAGTTAAGGAAAGGCAGCAACTCGCGTTAACTCGGTAAGGCGACAACTCACCTTAATCAAATAGTGTTAATGCATCAAATTCAACAAGGTACATATCCCTGTGACATCTTTAGCTACGCCAATAGACGCAGTGTCGAACATCAAGCCGTCCAAGTCTTTTTTTTTTTCCTTGCATGGTCGTTTATATAATTTTCCATAGGCGCGACAGCCTATAAATAGGGGAGGTCAAGGGATAGTTCTTTCATTTTTATTTTCATGGCACTTTTGAATTCAAAATATGTATGTAGGAAGCTTCTCGTCATTTTTCTAAGATAGATCCGAAGCTTTGTTTGATAGTTTTGAATAAAGAGTTGAAAACGTACATCAAATGTGAATGCCATTTATTTCAACTTATTCAAGAATATTAAGGATTTGTTTGTTTTGCTATTTCGCCGATTGTAGTTTAAAACCGAGGTTGAAATTTTCAGAGGCGCTACTGTAGAAACAGTCCTGCATTCCCTGATGCCCACACTTTCATGAGCGGCGTGCCCATGCCATTATCGTTTTGTTTTTGTTTTTCTTTTTGAGAATCTCCCATTATTTTTTTTCTCATGGGATGTTGACGAGAAGCTTAGAATATGAGCGATGTTTCATAATGAGGAATTAATCTCATTATAATAAAATTAGATGGAATTATTTTTTTTCTTTGATTTTATAGGAAAATAGATTGATCATTTGCATGGGATGGTAAAATCTGATCTTTTTCACCTTCTTATTTTCCCTTGCAACTCTTGATTCTACAATTTAACTTTGAATTTACTTTTGTATTTTTGTTTGTTTAATATAATATAGCACCGGAGTATTTCAAACGTTTAATTCATAAATAACACTTTGAAAATTGAATTTTTCGAACAGAACAATTGCTTCTAGAGCGTTATCTTTTAAACAATAAATTTTTCATAACTTTTGAACAAAAAACTTCATAGAGTCACAACCGAAATAAACTTGCAATAAAAAATACATGCACAAACTTGATGAAAGACAAACCATTAAAACTATCACACCCAAACCACAATCTCAAATCGCTCATTTCAAGCCTAAGCGGCTCATGCCTCAACCCCTCACGGGCATAGATCTAACGGCGCCCCACAAAGACACTTGTTTCCCAAATAAGATTGCTTGGGGAACTCTCTGGTCACCTGCCCAGCTGGTATCGCCCCGCACAGTTGATTATCGCTCAAATTCAACACTATCAAATGAATCAACCGGTTTATCTGAGCCGGTATTATACCGTAAATCTCATTGCGGTTCAAGAACAAAGCCCCCAAACCAACGGGAAACCTAACTTTGCTCAAATCAAACCGAAATTTGTTCGAAGATAAATTCATTATCGTAACATTCTTTCCCGCACCGAATAACACCGACGCATCTCCCTCGAGACGATTGTTCGACAAATCAATAAACCCCCAATCAATGTTGCCCAGCTCCGCCGGAATTTCCCCAGAAAGATCGTTGTTTGATAAGTCGAGCCGTGGAGGAGAGGACCCATCAAAGCTTCCGAACGATTTAGGGATTTCTCCGCTGAGACGGTTACGAGAAAGGCGGAGGAGTTGGAGGGAACCGAGGCGGGAGAGAGTGGAAGGGATTTTGCCGGAAAGGGAGGTGTTGGAGAGGATGAGAGTGGAGAGATGGGTGAGATGAGAAATGGAGTAGGGGATGCTGTATTCGAGGCCTGGGAGATCAGACAAAATAAGGGTTTTGAGGAAGGGGAGGTTACCGATGGCGTAGGGGAGGAAGCCGGAGAGGGAAGAGGAGCCGGTGATGCGAAGGGAAATGATGCGGGAGTCGAGGCATTGGACGCCGGTCCAATCGCAGCAGGCGGTTTCGTTGGTCCAATTGGCGAGGATTTCAGGGTTGTTGAAGGCGTATTTGATGGTTAGGAGAGCTTTTTTGTCGCCGGGGAAGCAGTTGCCAGCGGCGAGGGAAGAGGGGGAGTAGAGGAGGAGGAGGAAGAAGATGGTGGAGATAATGGGAGGTGAGGAAATGGTGAGAATGGTCGGCGGCATGTTGTATTAGTGTTTTGCGTGTTGCTGGTGGCTCTGAGAAAACAGAAGGAGGAGTATTTGAAGGTGCTAAAGGCGGCAGCTTTATCGGATTATATAGAAAAAGAAGAGGAAGATTTACATGCATGCCTCTCAATTCTTATATATTTATATATCTGTCGCCTAAACTTTAATTTTTACATAAATCATATATGCCACCCTACCTATTCATAAAAATATGTATTTTAATTTTTGAAAGTTAAAATAGTGGTGGTGTTAATGTAATATGACAGATTTGGATAGTATGAATGCAAGAAAAATCAAAGCTTAGGTCTTAGATATGTAAATACATAAGAATAAGATGGTATTTATGTAAATGCCCCCCCAAAAAAAAAAATTGGACACTCGGTTGATATTGTCTATGTTTATTTAAAAATAAATTTAATTTTATCATGACCAAAGTTTGGGCAGATATTTAATCCAAATGTTTACCTTTTAAGGAAATAGTTTTGTTTTGTTAAATTGAAGTTTTTTGATTGGCCTATGCGGCGGTCCACATTGATAGCTGCTACGCGCATTAGAAGCTTAAAGCTTGGCAACGGGCTCTCTTAAACAAAGAATTATTCAATATGGATGACGATTCTTTCAAGTAAAATTGGTCATAGATGATGATATGTGGAATGCTTCTAAAACAAAGTTATAATTTTATGTAAACATTTGTGGAGATGGACTCATGTTTTCAGGTGTGATATATGTAAAATAATAAAGTTCGGATGCCAGATATATAAATAAGAAGGTTTAGAGTGCTATGATGTAAATTATGCTAATTAAAATACTCTTAAAAAAAGAATTATATTTTTTTAAGTTTAATTGGATGATTTATAAAAATCATGATGCCCAAGTAATCTTCAATTTATCGAATTAAAATTGGTATTGTCATTGTTTGTACGTCACATGTTTCCTTGGAGAATCTTTTGAATAATTAAATAATTCAACAATAATACAAATTTATATTTTTCTTATATTAAAATTTATACTATATTTAAAAATGCTAGTTTTTATATTTTAATTATCATTTTGGTGGTATAATTGTAGACAAATACAACTTTAGGTGTTAGATATGTTACATATGTAAATACATAAGATTTGGGCAGTATGTATATAAATTCCTATAAAATTTTATGTCCCATCCCCACCATCCTGAATTCCGAGCATGGTTTAATGGTAAGATTATGTAAATAAATGGGATTTTATTGGTATATATGTAAATGTCAATAAACCGGTAAATTCTTTTGTCCCACACCGCCAATTATTATGAAAACTGCTTTATAAGAAAAAGATAATGCCGCGTTTTTAAAAATCAACAAAAGATTGGCTTGTCAGTGCAGATTGTAATTAAAATTTTGTTAATAATATATAAAATTTAGATGTTTAGGAACAGATACGGCACGTATATTCGATTCTCTTCTACATGTTCAAACTGGCACCGAATCAAATGATGGGTATAGAGGTTGTACGTATATTCTATAGATGATGTTTTGTTTTCTGAAATAGTTTGCAGCCGACCCGATCACTCGCCTCTCCTGTAGCGGAGATTGGAGTTGATATGGCTGCAGAGGTTGCGGTGGATCAAGGGCATGTTGAGGAGGCCGGCAGACCAGAATCATCTGGCTCGATTGGGCACCGGTTGCGCTAGGAAGACTCACTCGTTCATTCAGGCAGCCGGTACTCGCCAAGCTCGAGAGTTGCACATACTCATAGAGCGGGTAAACAAGTTGGAGAGGCTGGAGGAAGAAGTGGCTGTCATTCGTTCTCGAGAAGCTGCACTTTGTGATGAGGTAGCAGTTCATTAGATGGAGCTGCTAGCCATTTGGGAGGCTTCTTCGATCATCCGAATCCAAGCTAAAATAGATAAGAGTAGATAGGTTTAAGTTAGGAGCAAAGTTTTGAATAAGTGGTTATGTCAGTGATGTTATGTGTAGGATGAAGCAATGATTGATGGTCTTATAAATATTTTTTTAAGTAGCTATCGAGCAGTTGATGTAAATGTTCTTATTATGAAATAAAATTTAAATTTTCTATCTCAATTTGTTTGTTCCATATGACTCCATTTCTATGGTTTTGAACGACAAATAATGGTGTTTCCCTTGCTATGGTTTGACTTCCTTCCATTTTCTATAAATAGGGCCGAGAGTGTAGAAAATCTTACGCAAGTATTTTATTTCCTCCAATTTTCTCTGTCGGTTTTTTTCCTTTGGTTTTCTTCGTCTTAGTTCTCATGCGCGAAAGTACTCTCAAGAGCTCTTTGACTCCATCTTGATTGAAGAAGCATTCACCCTGTCGAGACACAAGGGGGAGCTGCTCAAGTAGTCTTGTGCGTATGATGAGTCAGTAGTTTTGTGAGCGGTCAGGAGTGTTGATCGAATGACCGAAAATTTTGACAATGATCTAGTCTTCTAGTGGGACCATTTCAAGTGTGAATTAAGGTTACTTTTTTGTCGGGAGTTGCGGGCGGTTCCTAGTGGTTACAGTGTAATCCATGCGCAAGTCATGTCAAATTCTATCATTTTCGTAATAACATTTGTTATTTTTTACCGACGGTTAGCCATCTCGTGGTTGACCGGCCCTTTTGTCTACTTTAGATTCAAAGTAAAATGAGATAGTCATCCATTGTTCTAGGTGGGCTCCAGATTTTGGCTGGTGGGCCTTGAGAATAAGAGACTTGGGGATCTCTATCCTGCCAGTTGTCCAAGAAATTCAAGTCCCTACCGTGATCCCTGAAAATATATCGGGACATGATTGATGGGAATGAGTCGTTCGTTCACCAATACTTTGATTCTGATATTTTGAATAAGGTCTTTTAGTCATAGGTGTTAGGTGATATGACCTATGAATTGTGGGAGGCCTTCGATGCTCATGAGGTGAAGTGGAAGAAGGCTGCTGCTGCCAAGACAGCTAGAAAGAAGCTGTGGGTGCAGGTCATCTGCTCGCAGACGACAACTGTTTCTCGATCGCTAAAATCGTCAGTTCAAGCTGGTGTCGACACAAAAGGGGCGGAGTTTGTTTTCTTTTCATTTTGAATAGCTGAGAAACCAATTGAGGCTTTGAATTTGCATTTTAATTATGCTTTTCAACAGATAGCCGAGAAACCAATTAAGGCTTTGAATGTGCATTTTAATAGATTTAATCTTATGTTATATTTTCTATGGATTTGGAAGGTCTCTTTTAAGTCATTAATGTGTTGTTTGGCTGAATGACTCTTGGCTAACACATCATTAAAATGTATTGATTGGCTGACTAAATCTATTAAGATGCACATTCAAAAAGCCAATTCGGAGAAAGCACAAGTACTAATAGACATGCCCTCCACACTCATCATACATGCAAGACAATTGGAGATAGAAAAATTAGGGATATGAAAGAGGGCAAACGAACGGAGGAGACTCAAAAGAAGAAAAGTAGAGGAAATACAACTAGGGTTTCGATAGGAAAGATGAATAATGGAGAAGGAGAAACCCTATCAAAACTCCGAGAAACACCCTACCGTCGTACTTCCTCAAATTCTCTAAAAAAGAAAAACAAAAATTTGCAACGCTTAACCGAATTCTACAAAAGAAAAAAAATTAAATCTGTATTCAACACAATAATTAATTATGAAGTTGTTTGTGAAATCAACACAATAATTAATCATAAATCGATTAATATAATTAATCTGTCTTCAAACAATCTTTAGCTGAAGAATTCAATAAACAGACTCCAGTAGGTGGTGCTTTCAAATCTATAGCCCCAGCCAAAGTTATTTAAAATTAATAAATTAAAAGTAGCCTAAAATCCAAATTGGGCCATTTACATACATACCACCCAGATTCTCTGTATTGACACATCTAACACCTAAAATTTACCTTTTGAAATATATTTAACTTGGTCAGATTAGCAAAACGCAGCCGTCTGTTGAATATTAGACGGCAAACTAAAAAACAATTTCATTCGAAGAGGGCGGGTAGGCGGAGCATTTCTGCAAGCATTTCTATATGTGTTAAAAAGAAATTTAAAATAAAATAAATTATCTGCAAGCATTTCTAACATTTTTTGTTGCATTAAAAATTCTTACAAAATGAATAAAAATATTGCACGTTACAAAAAAATAAAGATAGGCAAAGTCTTATGCATTTTGGAAAAAAAAAATGTAAGAAATAATTTAAGATGGCCAAGTTTATATGCACGTTTTGGGAAATTTACATTCATGCCACACAAGTCTTATGCATTTATATATTTAACACCAAAAATTTTATATTTACATTTTTCACACATTAGTGTTGATACGCCAACAATAAATTTTCATCATCCGACACGAATTTCGAGGCAAAACACAAATCTCAGGGCAACTTTTGAGCAAGATGTTATATTTTTATTTATGACTCACATTTATTTTAATAACTTATGAGATTTATTTTTGATAACTTAAGTTATTAATTTTCATAACTCATAACTTATGTCATAAATTATGACAACTTATGATATTTATTTTGATAACTTAAGTTATTTATTTTCTTAACTCATAACTTATGTCATAATTTATGATAACTTATGATATTTATTTTTGTAACTCTATAACCCCTAAAATAAATAAATGTTACTAACTTATGTCATTGATTTTATTAATAAAAATCAATTAATTTATTAAATTATCATAAATCCTATTGGTTAGTAACCCCCTTGATGGATGGTGGATAAATAGA